CTACTACAAAAAACATTGTTCCACCTCCTACTTTGGTGAGTAGCGACTGGGATCTTAAAAGCTTGCAAACTGCCATCTAGATGCAACGATGGGTCTCTCTGAGTCCAGAGCAAAGAAGAAAGAAGAAAACCAAAACTTCATGGAAACACTTAGTCCTAGCAACTGGTACACCATCTTATCTGCAGCCTATACAACTATGAGACCAGAAGAACCAGATGGTGCCCAGCTACTACTATCAACCACTTGGAAGAGGATCTATGTAGGAGATCCTGGATAGATGGGGACAACAATGTGGAACAAAACTCAAAATCATTTGGAAAAAAAAAAGGGGGGAGACCAGATTTGCTGGTCTGATAGAGCCTGGTGGAACCACTGAGACTATGGTCCCTAGCTGCCCTTCAGGTCTGGAATTGAACCCATGCCTGTGGCTTCTAGTCAAACAATAGAGAGGCATATGAGTTGAACATTTACCTGAGGTAGATATACTCCTTGGAGAGAACAAACATGGGAGAAAAAGGGCTGCTTATGCACAGGGAGACAGCTCAGGGGGCAGGAGTGCATGGAGCGATGGACACAGGGAAGAGGTAACTATGGGGAGGAAGTAGGAGGGGAGCTGTTGCATCATGGTAAATTGTGGTCAATGTCATGAGACAAAGTGTATGTGAACTGCTGTATAGAAAGTGTATTTGCTCTATAAATTTTCACCCAAATCACAAAATAATAATAATAATAATAACATTAATATGTCTAAAGGAGCCCTGATAGCACAGTGGTTAAAACACTCAACAGCTAGCCAAAAAGTTGGCAGTTTGAATCCCACAGCCTGCTCTACTGAGGAAACCTGTGGCAGTTAGCTTCTGTAACGATTACAGCCTTAGAAACTCTATGGGGCATTTCTACTCTCTTCTATAGGGTTGCTATGAGTTGGATCCTTTCGACAGCAATGGCTTTGGCTTTGGATTTTATCCATTGTATAATTTTCTTATTTTGTATCTGCCTCTTTAATAGAATGTAAATTGTTGAATGCAGGATTTCTAATGACTAGTCCAGTACTTGTTGTTGTTATGTGCCGTTGAGTCAAACCCAACTCATAGCGACCCCTCTTTGGGTTTCCGAGGCAGTATCACTACGGAAGTAGGATTGCCCAACCTTCCTTCCAAGGAGTGGCTGGTGGGTTTGAACCGCCAGCTGTCTGGTTAGCAGGCAAGTGTCTTAGCCACTATGCTACCAGAGTCAGGGCCGACTCGACAGCACATAACAACAACAACAACAACAGTCCAGTACTTGGAAATTGATAGACATCTAATGATTCTATAATTGAGTATACATTGAAATGTGGAGGTTTATTCATTCAAAAATTATGATAGACTATATTTTAGGAAAAATATACAAAAACCATGAAACTAGTAGTTTGGAGATACAATTTTAGTTAGAGAAGGAAGATTTAAAAATACAATATTTGAGCAAAAACCTGAAGCAGTTGAAAATTTTCAAGGAGAAAATATTAATTCAAAATACTCAATACAGTGTTAAACACTTGTGTGAGATCAGAGAAGTACTAGGCTAAACTGAGGGATAGGGGAAGATAATACAGGAGATCTGAAGCTAGTTTTTGTTTTCTTAGTAATGATATGTTAAAGTCATAGCTATTACTTACTATAACATACCAATAATAAAAGATCTTTATTTAGAAAGAATGAAAAAGTATCATGCTATCTTTTAAATTAAGGTAAATTTTTCATGAGAAAGGAATGAAGGAAATGAGGGAGAGAGAGAGAAAGACAAAGAAAGAAGGAAAACTTTGACTTACCAAAGTTTTTTCCACTATAATGTGCATTTCTATATATTGAGGTGATTGTTTCAAAAGAGGTTCTTTCTGAAAGAAAAAATAATAATAATAACACCATGTTAACATGTATTGAATTTCTTAAGAACAACAACAAAAAAAAAATGAGATGTAAAGAAGGAATCTCGTAGCATAGTGCCTAAGGCATTTGATTGCTAGCCAGAAGGCTGGCGGTTCAAACCCACAAGCCACTTCTCAGAAGGAAGATTAGGCAATCTATTTGTAAAGATTTACCACCTCGGAAACCCAAAGGGGGTTGGAATCGACTCAATGGCAGTGAGTTTGGTGTTTTGAGTTTATAAAACCTTCATGAGTATTTAAATATAAAAAATAATTGCAAATCAGAAAATTTTACTTCAAATCATATTCCAGGTACAAAAGATTCACAGTGAACCTAGTATAGTATTGTTTTTGTTGTTGCTATGTGCCCTCGAGTTGGTCCTGACTCACAGCGACCCCTCCTTGGGTTTGCGAGTCAGTATTACTATGGAAGTAGATTGCCCAACCTTCCTTCCAAGGTGTGGCTGGTGGGTTTGAACCACCAGCCTTCTGGTTAGCAGTCAAGTGCCTTAGGCATTAAGTTACCAGAGCTCCTGACATTATGGTACTATCAGGTACTGTATTTTAGTACTGATTAAGAAGAAGTAAACAGAGAGATACACACTCTGTTGTCTTCAGCTGACGACAAATTTACATAACTAATTCATACTGAAAAATTCTCACTGGCTCTCCTCCTAAAGATTATAGTAACACCAACTGTGGCACACTGGAAATCTTTCATTCATTTATCAGGGAAAAAAAAAAAGCCAAACGCAGAAACATTTGAGAGTTCATAGTTTGGACATAATTTCAGATAATTAATGTGATTTGTACTACTAACAGTTTAAGGGAAAATGCTAAAAAAAAAACAATTAAAAATATCGGAACTAGTTTAGTAGCTTCAGAACTAGGCTTTTATCTCAGAGATATTAAAATTTTTTCTTTGCTCCGAGGATACTAGTAACCAAATTTAAAAGTAACGTGGTTGCCAGGAGTCAGAATTGACTCGATGACAGTAAGTTTGGTTTGGCTTTTGGTTGGAGGGTGCAAGTGTTGAGTGGGTTATAGAATTTTCTGGATTAAAATAAACAGCAAGAAAAAGTGGAGTTAAATGGTAGAGTCCTGGTTTAAATAAGAATTGGTCAATGTTAAGCATTTGAGAAGGTAGCATATGATCAAGAACCAATGGTATTGAAGGAAGAAGTCCAAGCTGGACTGAAGGAATTTGTGGAAAACAAGGCTCCAGGAGCTGAAGGAATACCCATTGAGAAGTTTCAACAAACAGGTGCAGTGGTAGATGCAGTTATTCATTTTTGCCAAGAAATTTGGAAGGCAGTTACCTTACAAGTCACTGGAAAGGATACATATTTGTGCCCATGCCAAAGAAAGGTAATCAACCCAACAGAATGTGGAAATTATCAAACAATGTTATTAACACACGCAAGTAAAATGTTGCTGAAGATTTTTCAAAAATGCAGTACATCTGTAGTACATCTACAGGGAACGAGCAGAAATTCAAGCGAATTCAGAAGAGGGCGTGGAATGAGAGATATCATTGCTGATGTCAGATGGGTCTTTGCTGAAAGCAAAGAATACAAAAAAGATGTTTATTTGGGTTTTATTAAGTATGCAAACTCATTTGTGTAGATCATAACTTATGGATAACATTTTGAAGAATGGCAATTCCAGAATAGTTAATAGTGCTCATGAGAAACCTATACATAGTCCAAGAGGTACAGAGACAAATACATAGACAAATAGTACAGAGGATACTGCAAGGTTTAAAATCAGGAAGAGTGTGTGTCAGGGTCAAGTTGTTTCACTATACTTATTCAGTCTGTATGCTGAACAAATATTTGAGAAACTGGACTATATGAAGAAAGACATGGCATTGGATTGGAGGAAGACTGAGTAACAACCTGCAATATGCAGATGACCCCACCTTGGTTGCTGAAAGTGAAGAAGACTTGAAGCACTTACTGATGAAGCTCAGACTACAGCCTTCAGTATGGATTGCAATGCAATATAAAGAAAATAAAAATTCTCAGAACTACACAAATAATAAACATTATGATAAATGGAGAAAAGATTGAAGTTGTCATGGATTTCATTTTACTTGGATCCATAATCAACATCCATGAAAACAGCAGTCAAGAAATTAAAGGATGTATTGTATTGGGCAAATGTGCTGCAAAAGACCTCTTTAAGGTTTTAAAGAGTAAAGATGTCACTTTGAAGACAAAGAACTCTAATTGAATGAAGAAGACTGCAGAAAAATTGAAGCATTTAAGGAATTGTGATGTTTGAGAAGAATATTGAACCAAATCTGTGTTGAAGGAAGTACAGCCAGAATACTCCTTAGAGGTGAGAATGGCCAGACTTTGTCTCTCATACTTTGATCATGTCAGAAGGGACCAGTTCCTGGAGAAAGATATCATGCTGGATAAAGTAGAGGGTTAGTGAAAAAAGGGGAAGACCCTAAACAAGATGGCTGACATAGTGGCTGAAACATGGGCTTTAGCAAGGCAACGATTGTGAAAGTGGTGCAGGACCTCACAGTGTTTTGTTCTGTTTTACGTAGGGTCACTATGAGTCAAAATCAAGTCCACAGCACCTTACAAGTTTAAATGGATTTCTTTGCATTTTTGTAGGGAAATAAAGTATGTCTGCATTGTATATCAATTGCTGCCATCAATTTCTATATAATCTATGTACGTATTTATGTGTCTGTCTATCTATCTATCTAACTCTGTGTGTACACGTATGTAGTATATGAAATTTTTTAGGAAAGGAAGTTATCCTAACTCTCATTTTCTCTCATAAAATGCTGAAATAAATAGGTATCCGAAGCACTCTTTCATTTTTTTCTCTACAATTTTCTCCACAATTTTCTAATACTTAATGTAGTCTTAAAATGACAGTGATCTAGCTCTAGCTAGAATAATATGAAGTTGGTAAGGGGAGCACTAAAAAGAATTGATATTATATAATTATTGAAAGTGATATGTAATGACTGTAAATTTTTATCATATAATTCATTGGACCTAAAATATTTCTACTCAAAAATTACTTGCAAAATTGATATATTTCTTAAAATAAACATAATATCTAAGTTCATTAAACAAAAATTAAAAAAAAAAACTTCACTGATTAAAAATAACATAAAAAAATAATTGTTCTTGGCATATATTCATCTGCTTTGATTAGTTTCTTATCTGTATTGTATTTTTATATCTTCGGAACAATAGATATTACCTATATCATCTTAATTTTCATTACGCTACCTCACTTTTCTCAAAGATTGCACTATATGGTTAATAAATTTGAAATTATTGACACCTTCAATTGACTAATGAAAATCATGGTGTTGTTGTTGTTAGGTGCTGTCGGGTCCTCTCCAACTCATAGTGACCCTATGTACAGCAGAACAATACGCTGCTTGGTCCTGCGCCAGCTCCATGATCCTTGCTATACTTGAGCCCATCGCTGCAGCCACTGTGTCAATCCATCTCATTGAGGGCCTTCCCCTCTTTTGTTGCCCCTCCACGTTACCAAGCATGACACCCTTCTCCAGTGAATGGTCCCTTCTGACAACATTACCAAAGTATGTAAGATGAAGTCTGGTCATTCTTTTTTCCAAGGAAGATTCTGGCTGCACTTCCTCCAGGACAGATTTGTTAGTTCTTTTAGCAGTCCATGGTACTTTTAGCAGTCATTGCCAACACCACAACTCAAAAACATTCACTCTTCTTTGCTCTTCCTTATTCATTGTCCAGCTCTCACATGCATATGAAAATATCATGGCTTGTGTCAGGTGCACCTTAGTCCTCAAGGAGACATCTTTACTCCTCATCACCTGAAAGAGATCCTTTTTAGCCAACTGACTGCTAACCAGAAGGCTGGTGGTTCAAACCCACCAGCTACTTCTCAGAAGGAAGGTTGGGCAATCTACTTCCGTAGTGATACCACTCAGAAACCCAAGGAGAAGTTGCTATGAATTGGTCCAACTTGACGGCACATAACAACAACAACAACATATGTCATCTGATATCCTTACTGCTGTTTCCATTGGTGTCAACTATAGAACCAAGCAATATGGAGTCTTTGACAACTTCAATCTTTTCTCCATTTATCATGATGTTTCTTATTGGTCCAGTTGTGAGGATTTTTATTTTCTTTATATTGAGATGTAATTCATACTGCAAACTGTTTTTTCCAATCTTCATCAGTAAGTGCTTCTAGTCATTCTCACTTTCAGCAAGCAAAGTTGTGTCATTAGCATATTTCAGTCCTCCAATCCTGGTGCTATGTTCTTCTTCATATAGTCCAGCTTCTCAGATTATTTGCTCAGCATATAGATTGAATACGTTTGGTGAAAGGATACAACCCTGATGCACTCCCTCTTACAGAGCCAGTTAAGGGGCAAGGAGACATGACCCACCCCCAGAGTCAGGAAAGGGATGACAAAAGTGGCAGGATCCAGCTACAAATTAGGCAAGGGGAGTGCAGAGAGGTTTCCAGCAGCTAAGGGAGACAAACTTGTCTGTCAGTTTGTCGTACTGTGGTGGCTCGCGCATTGTTGTGAGGCTTGAGGCTGTGCCACTGGTGTTTCAAAAGCCAGCAGGGTTGCATACTGCACAGTTTTCAGTGCAGCTCACAGAATGAGACAGACTAGGTAGAAGGAAGAGGCCATCCACTTCTCAAAGAATGAAAATCATATTACATTTAAATGGGAAAAATGCTGAGGCATCTGCTAAATTCAAAGCAACTTCTACTGGGTGAAGAATACTCATAATTCTAGTCATATTTGGAGGAAAATTCAAAAATATTCCTTTGGCTTTCTGAGGTGGTAAATCTTTATGGAATTAGATTGCCCAGTCTGCCTTCCACACAGTGGCCGGCGGGTTTGAACTGCCAACCTTCTGGTTAACAGTCAAATGCATTAGGCACTACACCACAAGAGCTCCTTAATATATTGTATAGTTACTATT